TCGCCTCTCAATCGTCAATCAACAGGTGTACAGATTCCTGAACCTATTGGCTCTATCATATCTACACTTGAAACTGTGTATGGAGTCAGCCTCCACCACATCACTTCCTAATGCATTCCATTTGTCAACCACTCTGACACTAAAAAAGTTCTTTCTAATATCTCTGTGGCTCATTTGGGCACTCAGTTTCCACCTGTGTTCCCTTGTGTTAAATAGCCTTTCTTTATGTACCCTATCAATTCCCTTCAGAATCTTGAATGTGGTGATCATGTCCTCCCTAACTCTTCTGTATTCGAGTGAAGTGAGGTTTAATTCCCGTAGTCTCTCCTCGTAGGTATGAGTCTCTCCTCGTAGCTCATACCTCTCAGCTCGGGTACTAGTCTGGTGGCAAACCTTTAAACCTTTTCCAGTTTAGTCTTATCCTTGACTAGATATGGACTCCATGCTGGGGCTGCATACTCCAGGTTTGGCCTGACATATGAGGTATACAAAGTTCTGAATGATTCTTTACACAAGTTTCTGAATGCCGTTCGTATGTTGGCCAGCCTGGCATATGCCGCTGATGTTATTCTCTTGATATGGGCTGCAGGAGACAGGTCTGGCGTGATATCAACCCCCAAGTCTTTTTCTTTCTCTGACTCCTGAAGAATTTCCTCTCCCAGATGATAGCTTGTATCTGGCCTCCTGCTCCCTAGACCTATCTTCATTACATTACATTTGATTGGGTTAAACTCTAACAACCATTTGTTCGATCATTCCTTCAGCTTGTCTAGGTCTTCTTGAAGCCTCAAACAGTCCTCTTCTGTCTTAATCCTTATCATAATTTTGGCATCGTCCACAAACATTGAGAGAAATGAATCTATACCCTCCGGGAGAACATTTACATATATCAGAAACAAGATAGGACCGAGTACAGAGCTCTGTGGGACTCCACTGGTGACTTCACATCAATCGGAGGTCTCACCCCTCACCGTAACTCTCTGCTTCCTATTGCTTAGGTACTCCCTTATCCACCGGAGCACCTTACCAGCTACACCTGCCTGTCTCTCCAGCTTATGTACCAGCCTCTTTATGTGGTACTGTGTCAAAGGCTTTCCGACAATCCAAGAAAATGCAGTCCGCGCAGCCCTCTCTTTCTTGCTTAATCTTTGTCACCTGGTCGTAGAATTCTATTAAGCCTGTCAGGCAAGATTTACCCTTCCCGAACCCATGTTGGCGATTTGTCTCGAAGTCCCTTCTTTCCAGATGTGATACCAGGTTTTTTCTCACGATCTTCTCCATCACCTTGCATGGTATACAAGTCAAGGATACTGGCCTGTAGTTCATTGCCTCTTGCCTGTCGCCCTTTTTTGTATATTGGGACCACATTCGCCGTCTTCCATATTTCTGGTAGGTCTCCCGTCTCCAGTGACCTACTATACACTATGGAGAGCGGCAAGCAAAGTGCTTCTGCACATACTTTCAGTACCCATGGCGAGAACCCATCTGGACCAACAGCCTTTCTAACATCCAGGTCCAGCAGGTGTCTCTTGACCTCCTCTCTCGTAATTTCGAACCCTTCCAAGGCCGCCTGGTTTACTTCCCTTTCTCCTAGCACAGTGACTTCACCTTGTTCTGTTGCGAAGACCTCCTGGAACCTCTTGTTGAGTTCTTCACACACCTCTCCGTCGTTCTCTGTATACCTGTCCTCGCCTGTTCTAAGTTTCACTACCTTTTCTTTCACTGTTGTTTTCCTTCTGATGTGACTGTGGAGTAGCTTTGGTTCGGTCTTGACTTTGTTTGCTATATCATTTTCATAACTTTTCTCTGCTTCTCTTCTCATCCTGACATACTTATTCCTGGTTCTCTGGTATCTCTCTCTGCTTTCTGGTGTTCAGTTATTCCGGAAGTTCCTCCACGCCCTTTTGTTCAGTTTCTTTGCTTCCATACATGCCCTATTATACCATGGATTCTTCTTTTGCTTCTCGGATTTTTCCTTTTGGGCCGGGATGTATCTGCTTACTGCCTCCTGACACTTTTAGGTGACATAGTACATCATATCTTGTACAGACTTAGCTCTGAGGTCTGTGTCCCAAGGTATTTCCCTTAGGAAGCTTCTCATCTCCTCATAATTTCCCTTTCGGTATGCCAGCCTTTTGTTTCCTAGTTCTTTTTTGGGGGGGAGATAATTCCTAGCTCTACAAGGTACTCAAAGTTCAATACACTGTGATCACTCATTCCCAAGGGTGCTTCCATCTTGACTTCCCTTATATCCCACTCATTTAGGGTAAATATCAAATCAAGCATTGCTGGTTCATCTTCTCCTCTCATTCTTGTTGTGTGTGTGTGTCTCTTGTGTGTGTGTGTAAATCACGAAAATAAACACATGATTTAAAGTGTGACAGTGTCAGACCATGGAAGAATACTGGAACAGGAATTTATTTAAGTACTTTTGAATATTAATACACTCCTTCTGAATATGTATTCTTATACGAAAGTACTTACGGAAATTCCTGTTTCAATTTTCCTCCATGGACTGACACTGTCACACACATACACACACACACAAACACAAACACACACACACACATATATATATATATATATATATATATATATATATATATATATATATATATATATATATATATATATATATATATATATATATATATATATATATATATAGTTTTTCGACAACCTAACCTACCTAACCTAACATAACTTTTTCGGCTACCTAACCTAACCTAACCTATAAAGATAGGTTAGGTTAGGTAGGGTTGGTTAGGTTTGGTCATATATCTACGTTAATTTAACTCCAATAAAAAAATATTGACTTCATACATAATGAAATTGGTAGCTTTATCATTTCATAAGAAAAAAATTAGAGAAAATACATTAATTCAGGAAAACTTGGCTTATTAGGCAAATCAGGCCTTGCATAGTAGGCCAAAAAGTGCGTTCTGGCTACTAGGTACGACATATATATATATATATATATATATATATATATATATATATATATATATATATATATATATATATATATATATATATATATATATATATATATATATATATTTTCATTGAATATGACCGCATATTCTGTATTTATTATTTTCTGGTTTAGGGCTTCTATCCCTCTAACTATTTTCTTAGCATCAGGGCTTATTTGAAATAGAAGTTCTCCAAAACTCATTTTCGTACTTTTAAGGTGAAGAAAAGAAGTGATTTACTATAGAGTGTATTACACTTATTTGTATAATTTGCACGACGTTTCGAACCTCCATGGTTCATTCTCAAGTGAACAGATCTTACAATACTAGTTGATTTTATACCCGCATTAGGTCAGGTGATAATATAATGAAGGTGAAAACATGGGGGGATACATAAGGGATAAACATAGGGGCTGCAGAAGGCTTATTGGCCCATACGAGGCATCTCCTATCTAAACACAAAGATTAATCCAGTGTAATTGGCCTGTTATGTTGGACATTGTCTTCTGTGTTGGCATCGATATGTTCTTGTCTTGTCCTTACTCTCATGGTGGGTAGAGTAAATAGTTCCGTGATTTGGGTGTTCATGGTAGGTCGCTCTATTCTTATGTGAATTGCCTATTCACATAAGAATAGAGCGACCTACCATGAACACCCAAATCACGGAACTATTTACTCTACCCACCATGAGAGTAAGGACAAGACAAGAACATATCGATGCCAACACAGAAGACAATGTCCATCATAACAGGCCAATTACACTGGATTAATCTTTGTGTTTAGATAGGAGATGCCTCGTATGGGCCAATAAGCCTTCTGCAGCCCCTATGTTTATCCCTTATGTATCCCCCCATGTTTTCACCTTCATTATATTATCACCTGACCTAATGCGGGTATAAAATCAACTAGTATTGTAAGATCTGTTCACTTGAGAATGAACCATGGAGGTTCGAAACGTCGTGCAAATTATACAAATAAGTGTAATACACTCTATAGTAAATCACTTCTTTTCTTCACCTTAAAAGTACGAAAATGAGTTTTGGAGAACTCCTATTTCAAATAAGCCCTGATGCTAAGAAAATAGTTAGAGGGATAGAAGCCCTAAACCAGAAAATAATAAATACAGAATATGCGGTCATATTCAATGAAACATGTTTGAAAGAAAACCTGCTGCCAGTATACACCAATATATATATATATATATATATATATATATATATATATATATATATATATATATATATATATATATATATATATATATATATATATATATATAATACAAAAGCTTCAAAAACTGTTGGCCAAGAGCTAGAGTCTCTAAACATGCACACAGAAATCACAATTGCGTGATGCATTGTGATTGCATGTCGTAGCTCAGTCGATTAAGGCAGCGTCTGGGATGCTCTCGGACGCAGGTTCAAATCCTCGTCATGCCCTTGTGAATTTGTTCATCTAAACATGCATTTCTAGACTTGTGCAATTTGATGAGCGTTGCTCCACTGACCGTGGAAACGAACTACAACATTACCATTTCCATTCTCCCAAAATGGAAAAGTTGGTCGCAGTAGTCATTTTCCCTACTATCATCTACTGTGTAAAGGTATTAGGAGTTGTGTGGAGGTTATCATCAGTATGTGGTTTTCATCAACTATGTAAAACAATCAGCATGTGTGTGGAGGTTATCATTAACTATGTAAAGATATCATCATGTGTGCGTATGTTATCATCAATTGTGAAAGAACAGGTGTGTGAGGTTTATATGGGTCTCAACAGATGTAGAAAATTCTCAACATGTGAGTTATGGTTTGCCGGGTTCTTATTGCCTATAAACCAAACAAGCTTAATGAGGTCCACCTCGGTCAGCAAATATTCTACCCAGTATTAAACCCACAAAAGTTGCTTACCAGATTACTATTTGCTACTATACATAGAAGGGACCCAAGTTAGTTGTATGGACAATTAAGCAATAATTATGACTAATTCGGAAAGAAAATCATGTCCATGATGAGCTACTCTCAACTATTTGCATTAGTTTTAAATCAAATATCAGTATTTTCCTTTTTTTCAGAAAATGTGCTGACTGTACTATTTTCAAACTGGCAACGAATGTAATATAAATCAGTCATAGTTAGAGAGATGTTAAGTAGTTGAGAGGAAGGAGTAGTCAAAGCTGATAAAGTCCAGGAGGTACTTGGCAAGAAAGGCTTTTCTTTGGCTAGTGGAGAGAAGTGCCAGGTAGTGTGGAGTGTGATTGGTGGCAGCGGTGGGGTGCATTGCCTCAGGCAGCATCTCCATCTCGGCTCCGGCTCCCAACCACCGTAGGGCAAACGCAGTGTCTTCACGGACATGCTCGAATTTACCGATGAAGTCGTACTCGATGGTGCAAGGATTACAGAGCTGTGGAGGAAAAATATAGTTATTATAACTCTTGTGTATGGAACTGAGGGTGATTGGGTTCAGTATTGTACTATTCAAACTAAGGAAAACTCCTACTCCTGTCTGTTTTCTGCATTGATAATGTCTTCAATGTCAATCCTCTCTATTACAACCAGTAACTTACTACAAAACCTTGCCTTAACCTTCCCCACACACCCCACAATCTTGCCTTTTATGCACTACTCACTCTCATGAATTTCTCAAATACCTAATACACAAATCTATCTCACCACACCCAATAATAAAATCAATCAAACTATAGATGATTCCAATATATATTTGAAGATATAAACAGTGCACTTTTGTTTAATGCCAAATATTAGTAACTGGAAATAAAGACCACAATATTTCAGTCAGCTAATAACCTTACACAGAATTTATATTGTAGCCCAAATATTAGTGACCTTCCCTCGTTGCGATAGGCTCACATTCACTCTCTACGGACTGGTGAGAGGAGCTGCGACCAGTTTTCCTGAAAGTTGGAGACGATGAATGTGCCAAGGCACGCAAAGAATTTAGAGCCCCTTCTGAGTTCGGATCTCCCGCTGGAAGGGTCCCCAAAAAGAAGCTTTCCTGAGAATACCGTTTGTGGATATGCAGTTGGATATGATGACCTGGACCATTATCAAGTCGAATTGACTTGATAATGGTCCAGGACGGACTAAAACGTCGTCATCTCATCTTCTGGTGTGTGGTTTGGTCATCATATCTTCAGCCACGTTTTTGTGACTCATCATCAGCATACAGCTGGATCACGAGGTAGCGGGGGTCTTTCCACAGGTGTGGGAGCATGTTTGATGCAGGAGGACTCCCCTCTTGCAATGAGAAAACATCACTTGGAATGCTGCATGTTTTCCTGTACCGGCTCATGCACATTCTCCCTAGCTGTTCTTGAAAGTGGTATTCAAAGACTTTGGGGTATATCCTCTATATTTACACTGTTATGGATACCAAAATCTCTCTGTCTTCCTATCAGATTCGATAGGCAGATTACCAGACCCTAGAGTCGAACCAGCCTCTAAGATCGATTTATCCCTGCTTGATACCTGCTTCATGGGGTTTTGGGAGTTCTTCTACTCCCCTTGACTTGTGAGAGTTTCGTCCACCAGGCTGTTGCTTGGAGCGGCCCGCAGGCCCACATACCCACCACAGCTCGGTTGGTCCTACACTTTTAGTTTTTTTTTTTGGAAAACAGTCTAGTTTTCTCTTGATGATGTCCATGGTTGTTCCGGCAATATTTCTTATAGTCGCTGGTAGGACGTTGAACCACAGCGGATTTTTGATGTTTATACAGTGTTCTCTGAGCGTGCCTATGGCACCTCTGCTCTTCACTGGTTCTATTCTACATTTTCATCCATATCGTTCACTTCAGTACGTTGTTATTTTACTGTGTAGATTTGGGACCTGGCCCTCCACTATTTTCCATGTTAATATTATTTGGTATCTCTCGTCTCCTTTCTAGTGAGTACATTTGGAGAGCTTTGAGACAATCCCAATAATGTAGGTGCTTTATTGCATCTATGTGTGCTGTATTTGTTCTCTGTATTCCCTCTATTTCAGAAATCTCTCCTGCTCTGAAGGGGGAAGTGAGTACTGAGCAGTGCTCAAGACGGAGCAATACAAGTGATTTGAAGAGTACAACCATTGTGATGGGATCCCTGGATTTGAAGATTCTCGTAATCATTTTTTTCTGGCTGACTCAATATTTGCTTGGTTATGCTCCCTAAACGTTAGGTCGTCGGACATCATTATTCCTAAATCCTTGACATGCTGTTTTCCTACTATGGGCAGATTCGATTGTGTTTTGTACTCTGTATTATGTTTCAGATCTTCATTTTTGCCTTACCTGAGTACCTGGAATTTATCACTGCTAAACATTATGTTATTTTCTGCTGCCCATTCGAAAAGTTTGTTGATATCTGCTTGTAGTTTTTCAATGTCTACAGCAGAGGTAATTTTCATGCTGATTTTTGTGTCATCTGCAAAGGATGACATGAAGCTGTGACTTCTATTATTGTCTATATCTGATATGAGAATAAGGAACAACAGTGGTGCAAGGACTGTACCTTGAGGTACAGAGCTTTAAACTGCGCTTGGACTCGATTTTATTTGATTGACTGTTACTTTTTGTGTTCTGTTCGGCAGGAAATTGAGTATCCGGCATCCTACTTTACCAGTTATTCTCATTGACCTCATTTTGTGTGCTATCATTCCATGGTCACATTTGTCGAATGCCTTTGCAAAGTCTGTGTATACAACATCTGTATTCTGTTTTTCTTCTAATGCCTCAGTGATTTTGTTGTAATGGTCAAGTAGCTGTGAGAGGCATGATCTTCCCGCTCTAAATCCATGTTGGCCTGGATTGTGGAGGTCATTGATTTCCATGAAACTAGTGACCTGACTCCTGCTCACTCCCCAAATACTTTTATTAGGTGTGACGTTAGTGCAACTGGTCTATAATTATTTGCCAATGCTTTGCTCCCTCCCTTGTGTAGAGGGGCTATGTCTGCTGCTTTAAGCGTATCTGGTATCTCCCCCATGTCCAAGCTCTTCCTCCACACTATACTGAGTGCCTGTGTTAATGGCACTGCATTTCTTTACAAATATTGAATTCCATGAGTCTGGACCCGGGGCTGAGTGCATGGACATATTGTCAATTTCTCTTTCAAAATCTGCTATACTCGTGTTGATATCAGTTATATTTACAGGGGTTTGGATATCACGCATAAAGAAGTTATCCAGATTTTCCTTTTTCATGCTCTGTATCGGAGTGCTAAACATGTCCTCATGCTGCATTTTAAGAATTTCGCCAATTTCTTTGTCATCCACAGTGTATGAACCTTCACTAATACTAATAGGTCCAATACTGGCAGTGGTTTTTGCTTTTGATTTAGCATATGTGAAGAAATATATTTGGGTTTTTCTTTATTTCCTGAATTGTTTTCTGTTCTTGTTGCCTTTCTTCAGTCTGATATGAATGCTTCAGTCTCTGTTCGATTTCTTCAATCTCCCTGTTTAAATAATTCCTTCTTTGTATGGAAAGTCGTGTCTGCTTAAGCATTTCCGTTAATTTCTTCCTTCTTTTGTAATGTCGTCTGCGTTCTCTTTCTACATTGGACCTCTTTCTTGCTTTCCTCAAAGGAACATGTTTCAGACTTCATATGCTTCAGAAGTCAGTTTTTCTATTCCTTGTGTAGGATTCATATTTCTTAGAACATTTTCCCACTGAATGTTTGTAAGTTCCCTTTTTATTTACTTCCAGTCTATCCTTTTATTATTAAAATTGAGTTTATTGAATAACCCTTCTCGCTTGTTGTTTCTCTTCGTTTTTCTCTACCGTTAATAATGTTAGTTTGCACTTCAATGAGCTTGTTGTCCGAGTACATAGTGTCTGAGACAGTAATGTCTCTGAACAGCTCAGCATTGTTCGTGAATATCAGGTCCAGCGTGTTTTCGTTCCTAGTTGGTTCTGTAATCTGCTGACTGAGCGAAAATTTGTCACAGAATCTCAGTAGTTTTCTGACCTGTGGTTAGTTACTTCCAGGTTGATTTCCTGCTATAATGTTATTGTTTACTATTCTCCATTTTAAACTGGGCAGATTGAAGTCTCCAAGGAAGATCATATCTGGTACTGGGTTATCATGGATATTCTCTATTTTGTGAATCTGTTTGGTGAATTCCTCAACTGTTGCATCTGACGGTTTGTATATTAAAATAATAATTAGATATATATTTTCTACTTTGATTCCAAGTACCTCTACCACCTCATTGGTCGAGTTCAGGAGCTCTGTGCATGCCAGTTCCTCTTTAATATACAGACCTACTCCTCCACTTGACCTAATTACTCTGTCAAATTTATGTAGATTATAATTTGGGATCCAGATTTCACTATCCATGTGGTCTTTTGTGTGGGTTTCTGTAAATGCACCAAATAATGCATTTGGTGCATTATTTGGTGATCTGTTCGATTCTATTAGAAGGCAATTTATGAACTTAACTATATTTCTTGATTTTGGTTTTATGCCTTGTATGTTAGCAAATATGAATGATTTCCCATATTGAGTGTTACTTCTGGTGTGCTTTGGTAGTTCTCCTCTTTCTCCACCCAGGTCCAGGGTGTGTTGTTTTGGTAGTGGTTCGTCCAGTTTTTGTAGTAGTGTGGTTGATGTGTGGTGTAGTACCTGTGTATTTGTTGATGATTTGTATTTCAGTCATGTGGGTATCTCCCTTCCCCTCTGTAATCCTGCAGTGGTTCCATCTGACTGTTCCTCTCTCTTATATGTTTTACTCTGTTTCTGCATTCCTCCAAAAGATTTCCAGTAGTATTATATTGATCTTCCCGTCTACAACGTTGTGTACCTCTCACGTGGAATTCTAGACACTGAAGATTGAAAAACTTTTTGTCCCAAATTGAAAACTTACATAGTTTAGAGTGGAAGTATCTTCACTCCTTTCAAAAACGGCACATACCCCTCGCCGACATATTCCTGCATTTTCGAGGATGCAGAAAAGTACATTTACACCTAATTTCCCATATTTGCATATTTCGTGTTCATAGAATTTGCAAATAATTTAAGTTTTTACTTTTTGGGGGATATTTAAACTTGTGCCTGTCTTGGCTACCTCTTTATGAGAGCCATCTCTGTCTTTCGTCCCAATTTCTTCGTTTATGCACTCTATCCCACTGTTGCTCTAATTGGATATATTACCTGGCTCTGCAATATTGTTGTTGTTTTGTACCACAATACCCTCCTCCTCCAAACTACTACTGTGGTTTCTAAACTACCTGTTTCTGAGTTATTCTCGTTATCCAGTGTTGTCTTTCACAGTCCGCATATATCACAGGTAGCTTTTCTGTGCAGTCTCTGTGGTGTAGTGGTAAGACACTCGCCTGGCATTCCGCGAGCGCTTTGTCATAAGTTCGTATCCTGGCCGGGGAGGATTTACTGGCGCAAATCCTT